TAAATATGTAAAAAAAACTCATTTAATATTATTCTTTATTTCTGTTTTTTTTTGTATTTCTTATTATATTTGCTACCAAAATATGAGAAGTGACAAAACATAAGAGAACTTAATCACACACACATACATATATATATATATATATATATATATATATATATATATAATTGTAGCTCTTTTTTTTTTTTTTGAAAGAATGTTAAATTAGTTCAAACAAAAAATTGTTTTACACTTTGTGTTACATTGGTGCTGAGAGATTTATAAAGATAAAACAAACATTCTCGTGTTTATCGTGTGCCAAACCAAAGAGCTAAACCTCCCGTATACGGTATACGCCTGATGACGGATAGAAGATAGTCTATTCCGGACCGTTTTGTCCACTAGTTGGATGAGTTGTGTCGCTGACCTTGGTCTCTCTCCATTTTTTCTCTGGTTCTGTTCCCGCCAAAAAAGTCAGAAGAAGGCTTTGAACCTGGGTTATTATGGGTTCTGTTCTCTCCATTCTATCTAACAGGTTTTATGAAATCCCATGTATTTAGCAGGCACACGACTTAACCACTCGGCCAAAGCGACGGTTTTAAAATTGTAGTACTTTTTGGTTTATAATTTATAAAAAGAATATCAACTTTTTTATTAGAAAGTGGATTATTCATTAAAATATTAGAATTAATTAGTCTAAAAACATTTTGATTAGGATTTGAAGAAAGGAAAACTACTTAAACACTCTTTTACAGTTTTCTTAAGTTTTTGATGTTAGAAAATGACAATTACTATTAAATATTTTCTTTTCTGATAGTTATATTTTCATTAGAAATTTAGAAGACGAAAGTTGGTATATTTTCATTAGTATATTTGACTAATATTTTTTGTTTAAAATTTATATAAATAAAGAATAGAGAAATATACAACTAAATGAATACTTTTGTTTAAAAACTGCTCTTATCATCTTATTATATATTTTCCAATTATCTTTTATTTAGAATTCGAGAAAAGAAAATCTAGTGTTAAATATTTTTTTTACAAATATCTTTATTTTTAGGATTTTTAAAAAGGAAAATTTCTAAAAATGCCTATTAAATAATTTTAAAAATGAAATTTTGTTTTTTCAAAATAAATAATCTTGAAAATTATTTTTACAATTTGTTTTTACTATTTTCGTTGTATATAATCGTGATCTTCTAAAACATGTCAAAATTTCTACCAAATAATTATTAGCAATATTTTCTTTAAGATTTTAGATATGGAAAATTAATATTAAATATTATTTATAATTAATTTTTAACAAAAAACAATTTCAATATCTTAGTATGTTTATTGTTAATTATGATATAGTTTAACACATATCACAATTATAAATATATAACTTTCATATGTCACAATCATGTTAATTATCAATTTTGAAGAATCAACCTCAATATAATCTTTTACAAATTATTTTTCAAAATCTTTTACAACTTTTTTCAAATTTTTGTTTTGTTTAGGATTTTTCAAAAGTAAAATTTCTAAAAATACTATTAAATTATTTTAAATTTACTTTTTACTAATAAATAAATTTTAAATTTAATTTTTTAAATTTTGTTTCATTATATTGTTATATATAAATTTTTTAATAATTATATATTTTATTACATGTTACAATACTAAAAGGAAAATTAATATCAAATAATCATTTACAATTGTCTTTTCTTCAAGATTTTAAAATGGAAAATTACAATTAGATAATAATTATAATTAATAAATATATAATTGTCATATGTTACAATCATTTTAATTAGAAACTTTGAAGAATCAAGATCAATATAATTTTTTACAGTTTATTTTTCAAAAGCTTTTACAACTTTTGTTCAAATTGTTTTTGTTTAGGATTTTTAAAAAGTAAAATTTCTATAAATACTTTTAAATAATTTTTAAAGTTACTTTTTACTAATAAATAAATTTTAAATTTAATTTTTCAAAATTCTTTTTTTTTATCTTATTATATATATATATATATATATGTATATTTAATCATTATATATTTTAACACATGTCACAATATTAAAAGAAAAATTACTATCAAATAATCTTATGCAATTATCTTTTGTTTAGGGTTTTGAAAATGGAAAATTACTATTAGATAATAATTTTAACTACTTTTTAAAAAAAAAAAATTGTGTTTGTTATTATCTCAGGATATATATATTTTAATCATGAGATAAATTTCATATCTCACAATCTTAAATATATAATTGTCATGTGTCGCGATCATGTTAATTAGTAATTGAAAAAAATGAGAATTTATATAATAAGATTCGACGTGCTCTGCAAGTAAATTGATACAAAGACTAGTCCATCAAAGATTAAGACAAAAAGATATTTACTTGTAGAGCAGGATATGTTGACTATTCTACATATGTACAGTAGTGTGCTTTTACTTGTAGAGCAAACTTCTCATTGAGTACAAAAAATTCTTATTATAAATAGCACACAAGCGTTACCTTCATAAAATGCAAATAAAGCTTAAAATCTCACAGTTTCTAACATTTTTCATCTTCATAAAATGCAAATAAAGCTTAATATCTCACAGTTTCTAACATTTTTCAAGATTGATCCATATTCTTCAACGATGTCATTTTAAATCTCGAATTTTTTAACACTTTTAACTTTCAAAATGACATTTGTATAACAAAAAACCTCCAAAATAAGAAATTCACTAGTAGTACAGGTAAAAAGATGATGTGTCTGTTTTTATAAAAGAGCTTATGAAAAAATAAATAAAATTCCAATTTTTTTTTAAAAAAAATCAGAAATTTTAATAAATTAAATAACCATTTAGAAAATTAAAAAAATTACTAAAAATTAAAAAAAATTAATAAGACCAAATTGAAATACAGAAAAACTAAAAAAAATTCAAAAAGATTCAAAAAAGAAATTCAAAATTCAAAATTCAAAGTTCAAAATAGTTTTTTGCCATTTTTAACAATGATGTTGGAAACTATCATTGGAAATATGCCAAAAACCGTCATTGTTAATGGTTACGTGAAAAACCATCACCGTCATAAGTGATATACTTGAAATTGTTATTGTAACAATGATATGATTTACAAAAAAAAATCTTGTAATTTATAATAAAAATAGTTTGATTTTTGCATTTGCTTAATTTTTTAAATATTTATTTAGTTTTTATGTATTTTAATTTAATCTTATTTATTTATTGAATTTTTAGTTATTTTTATTTTTGAATTTAATTTATAATTCTTTATTTACTTTTCCGAATAATTTTGTTTTAAAAGGAAATGTTTATTTAATAAGAGTTTTTATTAAATTTTCTAGTTTTTATTTACTTTTCAGATTTTTTATTTAATCTTTTTTTTTATTAATTAAATAGTTATTTTTAAAAAGCTGACACGTTATGTTTTACTTGTACAACCGGTCAACCTTTTACTTAGGAAGTTTTTTGTGATACTAATATCACTTTGAAGGTTAAAAGTAACAGTGAAAAAATTTCAAGGTTTGAAGTGCGAATAAATAACATTTTAAGGATTTTTTATTATTATTTTCCCATTGATTTTCCCTTGATATTATCAATGAAGATCTTGCAGTTAGTTTTGAATGAAAGATATATTATCCACATACAGTTAGATATGGTGCATTGGTATTAATGAGAACCTAGATTCACCTTCTATAAATGTAGAAGTTGTACCAACAACACTAAAATTCCAAAAAACAATGGAAAACTTTCATATATCATTCCTTACCATTTATCCCACAATTGCTTTGCTTGTGTTTAAGCTAAACTTGTATCAATATTACACTTACACAAGTCTTTGCTTCGGTCTTTCCCATTGTTTCTTAAGAGTGGGTGGGGGTTTACGTGGTCAATAAAAAACAAACAATCAAACTGTGGTTTTTGTGAGACAATGTTTGGTTTTTTTTTTTTTTGAACACAGACAATGTTTGGTTATGTTCCTTGTTTTGTTGTTCTTGCAGTAGTTTAAATTTTGAAGATTGACAATTGACACTAACTACTATTTCTGTATTGATTTAGCCACACCGTTTTCTACATACCAATTAAAGCTCTATGGATAGTCAATACCTAATCAAATCTTTACTATATATTTCATGGACCAAGAAAAGAACTACCCAAGTCTCTGAATAAGGTTTAACATAACAACCAATAAAACATTAATATTTTAGAAAACTGAAACCTCTATAGTCACATCACTTAATAACTTAATAAACTTATGCTGTTTCGGTTCGTGATCTGTGTATCACATGTCATCGACCTTTTACCTAGATAGAGAAGCTCTGAACAATATTGCGATTCTCTACGATGATTTATTCCTAGAACTACAATTCATCCTCACAATTTTTAAAGAGTATGCTTATTCTATTTCTACTAGGTTAATTAAAGTCATGCATATAGTTTAAGTTAATTAAGACTACATAAAATTGCTGAAAGAAAATAATATATAATTAAATATAGACTTGGTAAACATTTGAACTGCTACTTTGAAACATCCGAAACACAAAATATATAGTATTGCCTTGACCATGTCAAACAAGACATACTCTCTTGCCCTATAAATAGTAAGCACTCATCCTTCATAAACAACACAAAATAAAAACCTTGAAACACATTCGCATAACTGTCTGCTTAAAATGAAAATTTCTCAGTCCATCCTCGCTGTTAAAATGAAAATTTCTCCAGGACTTCTGTGTGGCTGTTAATAACCTCAACAATGGTGGTATGGAAATAATCCGGTTACTTTAATTCTCTACTTACTGTTTCCTTTAATATGGTTTAAACCAAAGATTTTGATATATATATATATATATGCTTTTTGACTCAATGTTTTTCCATGTCTAGTTTTCGTGAATGGTAAGTTCTGTAAGGACCCGAAGCAAGCAAAGGCAGATGATTTCTTCTACTCTGGCCTCAATATGGCCGGAAACACCGATAATAAAGTCAAATCCAACGTGACAACAGTGAATGTTGATCAGATTCCAGGCTTAACACTATGGGAATATCATTGGTTCGCATAGATTATGCGCCATACGGCCAAAACCCACCTCACACGCACCCACGTGCCACTGAGATCCTAGTCCTAATCGAGGGAACATTATATGTCGGTTTTGTCTCTTCAAATCAAGACAATAACCGTTTATTCGCCAAAATTTTGCATCCTGGAGATGTGTTCGTGTTCCCAATAGGAATGATCCACTTTCAAGTGAACATGGGCAAAACTCCAGCGGTGGCCTTTGCAGGACTAAGTAGCCAGAATGCTGGTGTCATCACAATCGCAGATACAGTGTTTGGAGCAAACCCTCCAATTAATCCAGAAGTTCTGGCTCAAGCGTTCCAGTTGGATGTCAATGTTGTCAAAGACCTTGAGGACAAGTTTAAGAACTGAATTTAAGTCAATAAATTCGAATAATGTAATGGTAATACAAATAATATGAATAAAAAGTTATACTACTTCATAAAATNGTCATCACAATCGCAGATACAGTGTTTGGAGCAAACCCTCCAATTAATCCAGAAGTTCTGGCTCAAGCGTTCCAGTTGGATGTCAATGTTGTCAAAGACCTTGAGGACAAGTTTAAGAACTGAATTTAAGTCAATAAATTCGAATAATGTAATGGTAATACAAATAATATGAATAAAAAGTTATACTACTTCATAAAATAAATTTGGTAGTATTCACCCAGTTTGATATTTTAATACTATTTACTTTTCTTATGTTATTAAGAATAACACTAGCTAACTATTAGCCTAGTAAAATTTATTAATAGTAATATTTTTATTCTGAAAAATCAAATCTATGTAGGATTCACGATAGTTTTATTTTGTATTTGTAAAATAATTTTATTAAATAAATTTATGTGGCTTTCATGATAGTATTTTATATTTGATTTTTAAAAATACACATTTTACTATTAATAAGTTATTTATTTCATTAATTAAAAGCAAAAACCACAACTAAACTAAAATCTAAAACAACCCTTTATGGTTTAAAAAAAATAAAATATACTAAAAAACCAAAAACCAAAAGCTAAAAGCCAAAATCTAAAACCAAAACCAAAAATCTAAAAACTAGAAAAAATATCGTTATCTTAATTAGTTGTAATTTATTTAATAAAAACAAACAAAAATATGAAAGATATTAAATTAAATATTAAAATTGGAAATATCATCTAATTTGGAACAATTTTTAATCTAAGTGATAAAAATTAAAACAAGAGAGTGAGATATAGCTGGTTAAATTTGTATTTGTTCATTGTCGTGCATGTTGTTTATTGTTTTTGAAGTCATGGCTTTTAGGTCATGTCATCTATTAAAGAGAAATTGTTTGAAATACAATAATTGGGTGCAAATTTATAAAAATATAATCAATAAAAAATATTATATCATTTAAGTTTAGGGTTGATTAGTTTTTATGGTTTAGTATTTAATCGGTGTTCTGAAAAATTATTTTAAAACATTTATCAAAGATTTAGGACAGTATTTAGGGTTAATTTAGTTTTATCACAAACGGACAGTATTTATGAAAATGATTATCTTTTGAAGGGTAAATTTGAAAAGTAATATCAAATTTTTTTTGAAATTGAATTTTCCTCAATATCTATCTATAAAAATAAAGTTGGGTTATCTGTCCTCTTAGGCTATCCACCTTATTTTTTACATAGGGGGATTTTCCGCCACGTGTCAATTCACTAAACCATTTCAAATTGATTTTGGTTTACCTCTTGATTCTACCGTAGTGGGCTATTTATATAATTTTGAACTATTATTATAATTTATGATGTGCCTTTGAAAACTCTATGATAAGTCAATCATATTTTTAGGTTTCTTCCAATGTTTTGAAACCGATCTAAACACTGAATCGGACGATTTACCGGGTCACCGGCTCACCGCGGATGAACCGCAGATTAACTAATTAATTAATTATATTATATAATAATATTTATTGTTTTCATTTGACATATATAACATTAAAAATAGTTTAGGCTAGATTTTTTTTTTGTAACTTGAAAAATCTTATGACATCTAACAAATAATATCAAGAATAATGAACTTAAACATCCTAGAACTTAGAACTTATAACAGGTAAAAAGGTAGATTAATGATAAAGAAAAATAATCGAAAACCAAAAACACAAAAAAGAATACAAAGTAGACATAGGAAAGAAAAAGGAAGACGTCAAAAAATAAAACTGAAAACCTAACTCCTTAATATAATAATAACAGATTTTAAAAATATAATTATAAATTTATAAGGTTTAAAAAAGTAAAAATCATTTATTGGTTCAACCGGTGGGTCAAACGGTATCGGGTTTTATTGGGTTTTCACGAGTTTTTGCGGATTTTAAATTTGGCAGTGTTTTGAAACCGACCCGTACCCGCGGTTGAACCGGTAAATCCGATGACCCAGAAAAAATCCGGTTTGAGTTTCTATGAAAAACCCAAAATTTAAAAATCCGCAAAAACCCATAAAAAGCCAATAAAACTCGAAACCCGATAGCGGTTGAACCACCGGTTGAACCAATAAATGAATTTTACTTTTTTTGATGGTTCTTCTTCTTCTGAACATCAGTCTTTAACCACAGCAAAGACCTTCGATGACAATGAATGCCAACCCCTGACAAACATTGCAGGACATGTACTTGCTACCCACTGTCTATATGTGTACTCGGCTCACTCTATTTAGTTCTCCGTTTTTTGATATGTCTATGCATAGAGAGAAACCCTAGCGCTAGAGCTGTGAACACTTAAAGGCTCACTAGAACATCAGTCAACCCTCAGCTTACAACACCACCTTCATGTTATATTACGATGCCATCAATAGAACAAACAAACGTCAACTCCACTCATCTTCACTGACGACCTTGAGAAAAGTTACGTCTACAAGAGTCCAACTTCTACAAAACTCCTCGCCTTCAGTTACGAACTGTTGCTCTCTTCTTTATCTCTTAGAAATCTTGCATTATAACTTATCAAGGAAAAGAAAGGCTGAGATTGGTGGCTGGTTCAGAATTTTTTTTCAGTATGTGCATAAATTTTTTTTTATAATAATAATATTTATATAAATAAATCTTATATCCTATTAAATATTATTTATTTATATTGCATTACATGAAATAGTAAAGTGAATCATTTGAAGCACATAAACTAATTTTATTTATATGATTAATATATATCTTTAGTATTTTTGTCAGAAATATATAGGGTTTTTATGGTTGCAACCAACCAAAATAGGCTAAATACACATCTATATATGAGTTTTCATTAAACACAAAAATACAATTACATAACTAAATAAACAGAATCCCAATATAAAAAAAAAATTAGCAAGCTAAAAGATATATAAAAATACTGAGCCAAGTTTTTAATTAAGTATAGCGACCAAAAAAGTAATATGTAAGTTGAGCGAGCCAATATAGAAGGAAATAATTTTTTTTTTTTTTTTGACATCAAAGAAGGAAATAATCAATAACTAGTTTTAGTTAATAAAAAAAAAACTAAAACCGTGAGAAACAAAGACCTAACAAACATTGATTGGGTGTAGACAAAATATTTTAATGAGTTATACTTACGGAAACTCTAGTAGCCTATTTTAAGTTTTCGTCTCCAAAATAATTTTTAAGCTAAAAATCAATAGAATTTATTAATCGAGAGTAAAAGTCTATAATATCTTTATTTTTATGGTAAACAAATTAGAAAAAGTAATAAACTGCAACCACACGAAAAAACTTGCGACGGCCATACATTTGAGCTTGCTTTGTTATTTGAATCCAATATGGAGAGAAGAATCAGAGTTACAAATAATAAATTATAGAAAGCTTTCCTTTACTGCTTAAGGATAAAGATGAGTTTAACTACCTTACTTATTGATAAGAAATTCAGGTTAGTCTCTAAAATAAAATTTCAAATGTTGTTCCTTCTATATATTGCCCACACGGTACTTAACAGATAAATATGTTTTTTAAATAAAACAATTACTATATGTTTAAATTCCTTTGATATGACTATCAGTTTTTTATTCTACTCATATTGAATCGATTAATCAAAATCACTTATATTATTCTATTTCGTACTAAACAACTAAAAAACCAAATAATACACACAACGGTCGCTAAATGAATCTAAAAATATCACGTTTTTGAACATATGTTCTTTACCAAAACTATAATATGAATTGTAAATTAGTGTAAAAATAAAACATAAGAAACCGGCGCGTAGCGCCGGAATACCACTAGTGTAAGTATAAATGATATACAAGTGGAAAGAATACAATAAAGAGACAAAACAAGTTAAAAATTTCAGCTTCATGGCAAATCATTCTGGTCCTCTAATCTGCCTAATTCAGGAACTTGGAATTGGAGATATCTTATCAATTTGAGGGTTATCGCTAAACCTCTAATTTCTTTCCAGCTGGGTAATATAGTAGGAAAGTTTTCTTCTGGTTTGATAATTGGACAGGATTTGGTAGCTTGTTGGATCTTGTTGGTCCGTCTGGACCCCTCCTATCAGGAATTCAGAAGCTTGCCACAGTCTCTGAAGTTATAGGGCCTAATGGCTGGTTAGTATCAACGAGCAGGAATCCCCATCTCTCTGCGAACCTACCTCCCATTTCTGATTTTTTCAATTGGAGAAATTCTATTGCAGACCCCCCGGCGAAATTCTCTGTTTCAAAAACATATCAAGCTTTTAACCCTTACCCTCCTTCAGTTGATTGGCATTCATTGGTCTGGTTCAAAAAAAAAAATTCCCAAGCATGCTTTTATTACTTGGACAATCATGTGGCAGAGGCAGGCGACCAAAGATAAACTAGCAGCATGGGGCCTAAATGTCCCTACAAATTACTCCTGCAATTACTCAACTGAGATTTGGTCCTCCTTCACACAAACCCCCTATCTCCTCCATCCAGCTTTGCAGATGTTGTGGTTTGGTTACGGACTGTCATTTCCAACTAGAGGATTAAAGTTATTATAAAATTTATTTTTCAAGCCTGCATCTATTTTTTGTGGCAAGAGAGAAACTCTAGACTCCACAATGCTATTCTGAAGCCTTCACATGTAATTCAAAGAGAGGTTAAACTTCAAATCAGGGCTCACTTACTAGGATTGGACCAGGAATCCTATAAAGCGTAAGCAACTCATTCTGCAGCTCACCGCTTCTATCTTTCCTTTTGGTTCGAAATGTTTTAGCCCTAACCGGAAGAGCATTCGTCTACTTCAAATTTTCGACTCACACTTGTTTCTCTACCTCTTCATTTTTCTTTTATTTTCCCTCTTCCAATTTGGAACTGTTGTAATGATTTTATTTTAAGGAGGAAGAACAAAAGGGAATATATGGTAATTAAATAAAAATTATATCTAAAAAAAAGTTAAAATTTTCACATTTTATAATG